CAAGAACCCCCTCCACCACGGCTCCCCGGCCAGCCTGTCCGTCTACCCCCCGGCCTCCTCCACCTCCCTGTCCACCGGCCACTCCAGTCCGCACCTCTTCACGTTCCCTCCGACCCCTCCGAAAGACGTGTCCCCGGACCCGGGCATATCCACCCCGGGCTCCAGCAGCTCCGGGCGCCAGGAGGACAAGGAATGCTTAAAGTACCAGGTGACCCTGGCCGAGAGTATGAAACTGGAATCGGCTCACAGGCAGAGCGTGGCATCAATCGGAGCAGGGTCAGCCTCTGCCCACCACCCCATCGCCACATACCCACCCTATGAATACGGCCCAGGCCTCTTCCCACCAAGTAGCCTGATAGGTGGGTCACCTTCTAGTTATGGTTCCAAAACGAGACCAAAAACAAGGTCCTGTTCAGGTAGGCGTGCGCTTTATTACATTTCCCTTTTGATCTAACATGATTCCCCAGATTTGCAGCCTTAATGTGTCAAAAAAAAAAAAGAAAAGAAAAATGAAAGCTCACGTGGATTTCAGGTCTCCAAAACGCCCCCAGGCCTTCTCTTTCATCAACTCACATAATAATAATAATAATAATAATAATAATAATAATAATAATTGTAATTATAATTATAATAATATATAATATATAATAATGTAGAAGGACGCTTTCCATAAACTAACCCTGAAACTGCCTTAGAAGCATGGATTGATTCTGACACTTCAGTGAAAGCATACAAATATACAACAAATATAATAATAATAATAATAATAATAATAATAATAATAATAATAATAATAATAATCCTGGACATCTAGTGAATTTTATTTGGTCCTGTAGTATAAATAAAATAATTCTAAATATTTAGATATTTTTTTATTCCACATGAACAAAGAGAGCCGGAGCAGAAGCCCCTCTGTCGCCCCGTTTATGTGTTTAACATAATCCCATTACTGCCAGGCCGCCGCGCGCCACAGTAGCGGTGTTTACCCAGTGGCAGCGCACCGGATGCTCATTCACGGGGAAAGGAGCGGCTGAAGCAGCGCCGCCGCGACACACACACACACACACACACACACACACACACACGACACACACACACACACACACACACACACACACACACACACACACACACACACACACACACACACACACTGAAATGAAAAGGATGAGGCTAATTATTATTTTAAAAGTTGAAAATACGTCTTTTTCTCTCTTTCTGTAAGGAGATTAATATCAGTGGATTAGCTGATGCACCAGAACGCAAATAAAGATTTTAATTCAGGGATCATTGGAGACAATTAAGGATATTCACAGATCTAATTTTTAATTAGCATCTTATCTAAAAACGTAAATTATCACAGCCTTTAGAGGCTTTTATTTAAATTTATAATCTGGAATTTATTTAGTTCCTGTTTGATTTATCTGTGCCAGAAAAGAGAGAAACGCCCCTTCCCAGGTGCCACAGAAGTCACGCGCTCTCTCCCCCCGTGTGTGTGTGTGTGTGTGTGTGTGTGTGCGTGCGTGTGCGTGTGCGTGTGCGCGCGCGTGTGTGTGTGTGTGTGTGTGTGTGTGTGACACATAGAAAAAAAAACAAGAAGAAGAGGAGGGGAAGTGTGGCTGCATGAAAAAGCAAAATGCTCGGTTGCTGCTGAAAAAACCCTCAGCGCGAGTCTCTGCTTTCAAATAATCTTGACTGCAGCTCCCTCGTTTCAGTTCCTCCCGCCACACACACACACACACACACACACACACACACACACACACACACACACACACACACACACACACACACACACACACACACACACACACACACACACACACACACACACACACACACGTTTATCTAGTTGATGAGAGAGAATTTGAGGGACGCGCGTGTTTCTCTGGACCTTGACCCATCTAGCACGTGTTTTATTGTCACTCCTGTTTTCATTCCTTCAAAGTTTCTCACCAATATTTTCTCCTTCTAGCTCTGACGACAGTTTATTTATGCGACTATTCATATGATTTAAATGTCCAAGGACCTCCTGACTCCCGTGTCCGTTTGTTTCTGTGTGCATGTTGTTTGCGCTTGCAGAAGGTAGAGAGTGCGTGAACTGCGGGGCTACGTCGACCCCTCTGTGGAGGCGGGACGGTACGGGCCACTATCTGTGCAACGCCTGCGGCCTCTATCACAAGATGAACGGGCAGAATCGCCCTCTCATCAAGCCCAAGCGGCGGCTGGTACGTCTGCACCACATTTTCCTCTCTTGCTGATGACATTTCCGTCTCTTTTTTCTGTTTTTCCCCTATCCAGGAAGAAGTAGGCCTATTAGCTGCAGGAAATTGACCCGACAAGTGCAGGTCTCTGTTTTCAGATACTAAAAATAAAATAACAATAACAAAAAAATGCATCACCTAAAAGATGACGATGCTATTTTTGTTTTGCTTTCTTTACTTGCCGTAGCTGGTCGAGGATTCTGTTTGTAAAAAATAGGCCTCACGCGCTAAAACGCGTTTGCGCAAAACTAGTTCGCAGCTATTTCAGGGAAAGCCCCTCTCACACTCAGAAGGTCTCCTCCTCCTCTGATTCGATGCTGTAGCGCAGCTGAAGTCCGTCCAGTTCTGCTCGGCTCTGTTTTGGACCTCTTAATGTGAAAAGCCGACATGTCAGGAAAAGGCTGCCGGATGTCTGAGCGGCGCAGATAAGTCGCCACGAACAACACAGTCCGCTTCCCTGCAGTCAAAACACAGGGCTGCGCGCGACTCTGAGCCGGGCCACCACCCGAACCGAGCTCAGAGTCTTTAAACACCCCATCAGAGCCGCGGATTGTTTCTTTAGTTTTAATTCTAACAAGGGAAGCTGCGGGAATCCTAATTTGGAGCCCAATAAGGAGGACTTTTAAACAAAATGGAGCTGTTTTCTTAAATTGTGTCTTTCTCTGCACCTTTGTGACCATATCACGCATTTTGAGCCTAATTCTGGAGGCAGTCCTGCTCTCTGATTGGTCAGGGGGTTAATTGGAAATCCCTCCTCACTGCAGCACATCCTCTGCAGTCATATCGATTGTTTTGAAGGATTAAAACATCAATGTCAGGGCACAAACCCGCAACGAGGAGCAACTAAATCCATTTTCTGTCCCGAATTTTCATCCTGCCCCATCATAACTGAAACATCTAGCATCGAACCTTCCTTTGATTAAATCGACGTAATCAGATCGGACGTTTAAATCGGAGGAATTCGCGCGTAATTCAGGAGGGAATTAATCAGGTTTAATTGAAACGCGCTGCTTTTATGTCTTCTGTAAATATTGATCCTCTCAGAGGTACGTGCTCCATCAGGTTGTTTTAAGCCCTCGAACGCAGCTCTGTTTGTTTTCATTTGGATTTTCTGTCTTTCTTTTCAAAAAAAACTTTTATTGGATTAAAAAAATTCCATCTGTGATGAAGATGCATGACTAGAATTGTTTATGCAACATGCTTTTGTGTGCAGGGCTGCAAAACGAACACAGTTTTGGATAGGAACACAAAAAAAAGTCTTTTTTATGATAAAGGTGGCATAAACACGAAGAGACGCGTCAGCCCTGGACTTTGGGAGCATGTTCATGCTATCATAATAACTTTTCATGCTGACTGACGCCATCACGATCCGGTTTTTCATGTGTTTAATTCTCTTTCCGTGTGTATTTTTGGTGCAGTCTGCAGCCAGACGCGCAGGGACGTCATGCGCAAACTGCCAGACCACAACGACGACGCTGTGGCGGAGAAACGCCAACGGGGACCCGGTGTGCAACGCCTGCGGCCTCTACTTCAAACTCCACAATGTAAGTAGTAAACCCTCACAGGAGACCCCTCTCTCTTCATCGTTATTCCTCCTGGAATACTCCATCCCACTTGTCCTTGCCTCCGAGAAAAAGAAAACCTCCAGAATTAACAGGAGCTCTATGGCAGGACTGTAAAAAACGTGGAAGGGAAAAGGCTCACAGCCGCTTTGCTTGTGATTATTAATTAAAAATTTGTTAATTTTTAGGCAGATTTGGATATTTTTCAGGCCTTTTTTTCGCACCAGGGACTTCAGGGTCCCCCCTCCCAACTCCTCTCTCACATCATTGCACATCCTGAAACCCCCAGGGGCCGTTTATCTCTCCTCTCCTGTGCACAAAGCTGCCACTTCTAATCAAACAGCCATTGTAGCTAAAGCTAATAATAATAATACGCCGGCTAACTGCTCTCAGGCCACATGCAGGTAATTTTGCCCCTCCTCTCATGGCAGATGAGGAGAATCCTGCTTGACCACCCTCTCCTAAATCATTTTCCCGTGTTACTTGTGGCAAATTGTTCATCCCTGCAAAAACAGACGGGTTAAAAACAGAGAAGAAGAATATTTCCTGGTTGCATGTCAGCGCCTGAACGCAGCCTGACCTCGCTGTAATTGTAAAACGAGTTGATTTGGGTAAATCCGGGTTTTTTTCTGCAGACCTGTCCCGTTGGCTCCAGCTTCAGAATGAAACCCCCACACAGGCTGTGTCTTCCCACTGAAGTGGTTTTCTTGTTCTCCTGGTCTGAGTAAGCTTTGACACCTCTGTGTTAGTCTGAGGTTTCAGGTGGCTGCTGCCGAGTGGAGGCAGGATGCAGGAGTCTGCGTTGAGGTTTTCTGCGGTGGTCATTGACTTAAACATTCAGATCTTGTTTGATGTTGCGGGGCGGCGGCTGAGAGCAGGCCGGAGGCCCGGGGCTTCCTCCCTCTGAGAAGTCTCGGCATCAAAGAGCTTGGCTGGCTTTAGGGAGGAGACTCTAGAGAAAGTCTCCCAGATGAAACTGCGTCTCTGGGATGGGTCGGCTCAGAGAGTCGCCACCAGATTCAGTAAGAGGAACCAGAAGGCCGGTCGGTTTCATTCTGCCTAATCCGGCCTACCGCTGGAATTCCAGCATTCCTGCCTAAACCTGTGCTGTAATATGGCAGCTGGGGCTGTTTTGGCCAGGAGATGTCCAAGGGCTGGTGGAGGAGGGTGAAGA